TACTCCAATAATTCTACTAAAAGGAAAGGGTTGTTTGAAAAAACTCTCTCAAACCTAAACAAAATTGAAGTCTGGGTAAACCAAAATATTAGATTTATCTAAATTTTAAATAATATTCTTTTACTGCAAAGGGGTGTTAAAAAAAGGATATTTTGTATTTTTAACCTAAATTTCTTTAAATCTATAATCTGAACAATACTTGTTTTCGATTTCCCATAGACGGATAGTTTTATCACCACTACCAGAAGCTAATGTATTTCCATCAGGAGAGAAACAGACTGACATAACATTGTTACTATGACCATCTAATTTGGCTTTTTATTATCCTGTTTTGACATCCCATAGATGGATAGAGTTATCATCACTACCAGAAGCTAATGTATTTCCATCAGGAGAGAAACAGACTGACCAGACAGTATTACTATGACCATCTAATTTATTCAAATGATAGATTTTCAAGTTTTTCCATTTACAATAACACTTTCATGCTCCACTAAATTATTCTTTAATTCTGATATATTTCAATCGCATTTTACATACTAACCACAAATTAAAAAATCATTCTTTATCTTGATTTTTTCATAGCTTTAATTGGCGAGATCAATCCTCTTCTAAACTCATGAGAGAATCTTTTTATATGTATTGTTAATTTTTTCTTATTAAGATTAGCGAGAATAAATGAATTTGGTGAGATTGGAACAAATATAATAATACTAATTGATTCTCATTTTTAATTCAAATTATAGATTTGAAGTGATCATTATAAATATTTTTTAATTGATTTTCAGTCGATACATTCTTATTGAACAATATTGTTAATAAATTATTACCCAGGATTTCACTACATGATGATTATAAATTTTGAAATCTTTTATTTTAATTTATTTTGGCAGAACAATAATGATACACTTTTTTAACGAGCTTAAAATTAAAATTTACATTTCACATACCATTCTTATAGGTCCTAACAGATAAGAAATGGGTTATAAACTGATGAAATAATGCTAATTATCCTAAAATGACAATGTTTTTTGGTTCCCCATTAACTTTCTTCTAATATTTCTTAATGAACGCTTTGATTTACAGTAATAGCATACTATTTGACAATTGTAGTTATTTTCCGACCTGTCCATTATTGTTGGTGTTAATTAGCCATGAAACCGAAATAGATAAGATAATTAATAGTTAATATTTTATAATTTTTGATATAAATTATGTATTTATATAGAAAATATAAGTAATTAAATATCTAAATTAGATCATTTAAACAAAATGAAGCTTAAAAAAAATGATGACTAAATGCATTAAGTAATTTTCAACTTGAAAACCTAGGAATAATAGATGCTATATAATAAGAAATATGCATTTTTTACATTGTCAAACGATAAATATGTCTAAATTGTTTGTGAATTACCCAACATTTTCACTGTAGAAGATGCTATAACATTCACTCTTAGTCAATTCTAATTGGAAATAGGTAAAAAGAATCAAAATAATTACTTAGGAGAAAACTTCAAACCAAAAAAAGGAGGTGATTACGTATTAAAGATTTCAAAAAAGTCTGGGCAGCCAAAAGATGATTTGCCAAGTAATTAGCTGGATATTATTTTGGCATAGATTTAGATAATGAATAAATACTGTACGAAACAGGGAGTTAAACATTCACTTTAGTGTAGAAAAATAATCTATAAAATTCTGAAAATTAAAAATAACCTTAATCTTCAGTGACTACAACAATGTGCTCGTAATAAGAACAATAGGATATATCCATCAAGTCTAGAGTATCATATACGAATGGATTAAATAAAGGAAAAGTAGTCTCATTATACATATTATTCTACATAGAAACCCATCAAAGAAAATGATAAGAACGAAAAGAGCGGAGGTTTTTGCTTTTTCAATAAGTGTTTTTGATAATTATAGAAAATATTAACTAATTACTTTAAAAATTATATATTATATAAAAATAAAATTTTGTTATAATAAAATAAAATTGTAATTTTTGGGATATAAATCTTATAAAACATTCAAAATCTTATTATTAATATTTTTTTTAATTGTGATAATTTTAGTGCTATTAAAATGATCCAAAGTTTAATGTCTTATGGGAAAATGTCAAATGCATGTTAATAAGGTATGAAATATGAGGGATTTGTTTTAGTACTCTCAAAATCACTGAATAAAACATCCAAAAGCTATTTTAGTCAGGCACCTTAATAAGGTTCTTCAAACACTGAGCTTGTGAAAATTTTTGCAGCATTTTTCGGTATAGTAGGTTTGGGTACTGGGGGATATGTTGCTTATTAAAATTCTCAATAATAAAAGAAGCAAGAAGCAAAAGCAAAACAGACTCATATATCAAATTAAACAATTGACAATTTGAGGCAAAAATCAATTGAAAATGAAGAGTAAAAAAAGGAAGAAATCATTACCATGTTTTCAGATGTTAATGATAGAATGCTCCGATATAGAGGAGATCCAACAAGTGAGAAAATGCTTGTATTTACATAATACTATTCAAATTATAGGCTGATTATACAATTTATGGAGACTTGAAATGGTTTGAAGTAGATCCTGAGGAATGGGAGAAACCAGAAGAGGAAATGATAATGAAGGATGAAAATGAAATTGTTAAACATCCAATTAGAAGGGCTTTGATAAATGAAAGACTCACTCATGCTTTTGAAGCTGAAAGGTACTAAATATTTTTAATTTCAAAGAATATTGTAGAGTATTTTTGTAAATGTAAATGATGTACTTTCAGAAATTGAAAGGACTGGAACATATACTCCCCCTGGCATCTTCTTTAGGTTTTATGGTTACGTGTACTTCCAAATCAGAAGAAAACCAATTAATATTGAAAATTTGGTTAAGGCCTAAAAATATATTTCTGTATTTATTAATCTTAATCATAGCTATTTGATTTATTCTTCTAATACTAAACACCCGTTCTATATTATCACAATTAATATCTTGAAATACCCTTAAAACCTGCTATTTTTGATGTAAATAACAAAAGTATTTATTTAAGAACATTGATTGGCTACCTAATGCTTATATTAATTCTAAATAATAGGCTAAAATTTACCTAACTGGTAAACCAAAGCACGTTTTTTCTATGAGAATCAAATAAGGAACAGTTGATGAATCTACTCAAAGATTTGCATGGACAAACCATTACAAATGAAAATATATAAATACAATACATTAAATGAAATATTAAAATCTTACATTAATCATAATTTTGGAACAAATATTTATTATTACCAATCTTTTTTCTCTTTATTAAAAAACTGTTTTAACAATTGTATTTGTTACCTACTTAAAAAAGGTACTTTGTGCCCTTGATCATGAAGTATTAATAAAGGATTCAAAAATTATGTTGATAATCCTAAAGATCTTAAATCTATTTAATTTCAAAAAGTTCCCCCATGTAAAAAGTGGTTTATTTTCTATCATTTTGGCAAAATTCTAGGGGATTACAACCTAAGAAACATGGACATTTCTTTTAATTGATATAGGACCATCTAAAGTAATAAATTCTAAATCTATATGAATGAAATTCTTTATTTGCTCCATTTCCATGTAAGCAGAGTATTTTTTTTTTTTACATTGATTATTTTTTATGTGATAAACTAAATATTGATCTTCATTAAATATATATATAATCACAATTTAGCTAATTTAGGTACATAGACTGTTTTTGACCAATCTTATAAGGGATTCTCAAAAAATCGTTTTAGATCTTTCACTTATTCATAAGTTAATGTAGGAACTTTATGGCCTTGATTATGATATATAACATAGGGATTTAGGAATTGTACTACTAATCCCATTGATCTATAATATAGATTTTTTATTTTTACCTATCCACAACAAAATCATTAAACCCTATTAAATGAAGGGAAGGAATTCGGCATAAGAATTATTTTGTTTCAGGAATATGGTTTGCTTATGCTGAAACAAAAATAAAGCATTTTAAGTCATAGCCTAAATCAATCTCTCCAGCAGCAATTTTAGAGGCTAACCTAACAGCAATAGCAGATCCTTATGAAAAACCCATCACTCCAAAAAAAGGTCCTTATTCCTTTAATATTTTCACTACTTCCTCTAGTGCTGGAGAAAATACTAAGTTTATAAATCTAAGCTTACTTGAATCAATATCATTGTTTTTAAATTACATAAAATTCAACCAACTGTAAATATTCTAATTCTCCAACATTTTGGCTATACTTTCATCCATAATTACCTAAAAGATTTTAGAAAATTTTACGTTCCTATTTAATGGAATAGGTCCATTAAGTGTAATGAAATCAATATCTTTAAATTCTTTCTTGAACTATCTCAATTGATAGGATAACATCTCTGAATTTGTGCCAAATCCATGAAAACAAAGAACCTTTTATTTCACTTCCATTCTTATAATATATTTAATAATTTAGTATAATGAATTTTAATTAGGAATCTCTATGATTTAAATAAATATATTAAAATTTAAAAAACAATTAGAAATTATATCACTCTCATTATCATCTTTTAAAATTAAAAATTGCAATTTAGATTTTAATTGATTATCTCACATAAAATAAGGCTAATTATTATAATATATGAATATTAGCATACTATCATTAATCTAAAATATAAGTAGAGTCCTGAAATACAATATTATAAGGATTAATGCAACTTAGAGTTGTTTTGATAGGCATAAAACAGTAATTTAAATCTCATAGATAAGTAAAAATGTTTAACGTAAATAAACAAATAATATTGAATTTAAATAGAGACCTAAGCAAAATAATATTATTTTAAAACAATTATAAGTCTCATTTCACTTATATCTTTAAATTATCAAAGACAAGTCAAACTAATTAAATTTTTATCACAATAAAATTTTTTAAGTAAATAGAAGTTGCTTTTACTCTAAAAAAAAAAATTTAATGCTGTTGATTATATAAAATAGAATAATTATAAAGGAATCAACATTTAATATTCTTAATCAAAATTTAGCTAATTGAGGTACATACACAGTTTTTTTCCAATTTTGTGTTGGATTTTTAAAAAATTTCTTTAAATCTTTCACCTATTCAAAAGTTAGAGTGGGAACTTTGTGACCCTGATTATGATAGATTACATAAGGATTTAAAAATTGCACTACTAATCCTAAAGATCTATTTTATTAAATAAACATACCTATCTACTAAAAAATCATTTATTCCTATTAAATGAAGAGATGGAACTCTACATAAATAGGATTTATTGTCTATGTTACCAAAAGGGTTAATTTAAGCTGAAACAAAAATAAAGCATTTTAGATCATACCCTAAGTCCACCTCTCTAGCTGCTATTTTAGATGCTAATCTAACAGCAATAGAAGATCCTTATGAAAATCCCATAACTCCAAAAAAAGGACCTTATTCCTTTAATATTTTCACAACTTCTTCAAACGCAGGCGAATAAACTTAATATAGCATTTGAAAATACTTGAATTCATATCATTATTTTTCATATGAAGAAAACTCATCCAGCTATAAATGTTCTAATTTTCAAGCATCTTTGCTAAATTCTCATCCATAATAATCTAATTATATTAGAAAAATATACATTCCTATTTAATGGAATAGGTCCATTAAGTGTGATGAATTCAATATCTGTGAACTCTTTCTTAAACTATCTTAATTAATAAGATAGAATATCTGAATTTGTACCAAATCCATGAAAACAAAGAACTTTTTATTTAACTTGCATTAATTTTATTTTATCACTATAAATATATTTATATTGTACATTTTTTATAAGCATTATATTTTAAAAAATTTGAATTTAAACAATATTCTAAACATTTCAGCTGGGATGCTAATAAATTATAAATAATTAAATGCCTGTACTTAAATTTTCCATTTCAAATGATATATAAAACTTGATATTAAAACATAGATTTTATAATTATCTTATCATATAAAATTTATTTATATTATTTCAAAATTTTATTCCTTTTTTGATGGAAAGAAAGCCAATAGGAGAGAAACTAAGTAATTTAAGTGCTCTTATCTAAAAATAATAACCCAATAAAGAGTATTATTATAAAAATATCATAAGACAATAGGATGAATAAGATTAGAAATACAAGTAAATATTTCCAAATATGAATCAACCGGAAAATTAAGATAATGGATCATAGACAGAACAAGATAAATTGAAATAAGTTTAAAATATCATTTAAGATTAAAAGCAATTTTAAAAGTAAACAATTGATACATAAAATAGTGATATATCAAAACTTCTAGATAGACTTGGAAAATTATAAGAATCAACTTCATAATCATAATCAAAGACACCAAGTGTTAAATAGTAATATCCTCCTAATTAGTATGATCCGACACCAAATTAAACACCCAACAATCGAATTGTTTAAAGTGTTTCTGCTCTACCAAAATAAACACCACCATAATAACTTCCTTAACCTGTCTAATTGTTTCCAACAAATAGTCCAATAAGTGATTAAACCTACAGAAATTTGAAAGAATAAAATGTTGATTTATTAAGAAATGTAGCTTAATTATAACCTTTAGTATAAGTAGTAAATGAAGTAATTATAACATAAATTTTTAGCTTAAAGTCGCTTTGTAATAAACAAATGATAAAATAAGAGAATAATAAAAATAAATCGAGTAATTGCTTAAAGAAAATATGTAATTAAAATAGCAAGTCATTTTAAATGAATAAGAGAAAATAAACAATAAAAGATAATTTGATGATATAATAGCTAATAATCAATTAGCTCATTAAAGAGATTTATAAGCAATAAAATTTTAGGCTCAAGAAAATTTAAATGGTTTAGAATAAACATGGAAATAATAATATGTTCTATTAAAAACAGAATCTGATGCTGTTATTAATAATCTAAATTCTAAATTAGCTATTTAACAAAAAGATAATTAGAAATAACAAGATATTATAAATAATGTAGTAAATCAAAATAAAGAAATCTAAAAAAGTTTATGTAATATATATTAAATTAAATTTAGAGGATAGAATTAATGATTTAAATATGTATCATTAATCACTAGAAGAAAAGAAATTGGAATATGAAAAACTCTAGAACAATTACAATGCTTCTTTGGAAAAATATGAAAATAATACAAAATAACTAATAAACTAATATACTTAAAAATAAAGGCAATAAGAATAACTAATTAATGAATTAAAATCACATAATACTATCTTAAGTTAATAAATGGTTGAATTGGATTAAACTCACAAATAGACAATATAAAGTTAATAAATTTAAGTTTAGCATCATATTAATGGAAAACTAGAGGAAGTACAAAAAATCAGTATAGTAGAAAAATAACAATTATAATAATTGTATGAAGATAAGATAAATAAATTAAGCCAAGATGTATGATATCATCTATATTTATTTTAGAAAGAATCTCAACTTAGTTAATAAAAATAATCTATTATATTCTTAGAACAAAAGATAGCAGTTTTAGTATAGGAAAATAAAACTTTAGTCGAGTAAATGAATAAAATAAAGAAAAAAGCAGATAATTTAGAATAAGCTATGATAAATTAAGAAGCTGCATATTAAAATCTAACAAAAGATTCACAATATAAAACATTATCACTTACCAAATAAATTTAAGAATTAAATTCTATGATTGGAAATTCGAACTAAAATAATTTTTAAAATTTTACTAGAAAATCAGACACGTATGATTCAACAGAAAGAATATAATAGTTAGAATAATAATTATCTTATAAAAAGGAAGAAATGGATCTTCTTTTGCATCATTTAGATTAAGTGTTTGAAATAAACAGAGATTTTGAGAATAAAATCAAAACACTATAAGCTTAACTTGAATTAATGGAAGAAAAAAATAATAGAGAATAAGATTAAAGTAATAATTTAATAAAATAATAAAAATAATAAATTGATGAATTAAAATCTTAATTAGAAACCAGTTAGAAGTTAGATAGCAAGAAGGAATCTTAGATAAAAGAATTATATTAAAAATTAAATGAAGAAGAATAATTAAGAAGAAAATAAACTGATTAATTAATGATGAGTGAAAAACAATAATTCTAAGATGTAATCAATTTTGTATAATAATATAGTAAATTAAATAACTAAAAATTAAGAATGTGGAACTGATAAATTATAATGAAATATTAGAATAAAATTTAAAAGAATTATAAGAGAAATATGATTATGCTTTAAAAGAATAAAGTGAATAGAAATAAGTAAATTCTATTTGATTATTTAGCGTTTTGAAGAATAAAAATAAATAATTGAATAATAAATTTAAATGTTGCAAAAGAAGAATTTAGACACTCAAATTACACAACCAAATTAGTTAAAACGAGATTAAAAAAATGTTGATTTAGAAAAATTAATTAATGAAAAAGATTAATAAATTAAGTTATTAGAATAAAAACTAAAAGAAAATTAAATGAAAACTAAGGATTTGGATTCCAAATAAAAAACAGTAGAGGAAATTGAAAATTAAAATATTTCTATGTAAAAATATTATGAAAATAAAATAAAAGAATTAGAATTAAGAATTGGAACATATGATGATTAAATAAAAATCAATAATAAATAGCTTTCAATTTATTAATAAAAAATAAAAAATTTAGAATAATAATTATTAGCAAATGAAGATGACATATCAAGATTAAATGACATTAATTAAAATTTAGAAGAATAACTTGCTGTTTAGAAGAACAATAAATTTACATCTTAACCAAATAATTCAGGTGATCTTTAAAAATTATAAGATGCTAATTTGAGATTATAAGAGCAATTGAATTTAGTAAAAAAAGAGAAAATACAACAGACTTCAAAATATGAAAATTAAATCTAATAGCTTTAAGATTAAAATAATAATAATATAGAAACGATTAATTAGCTCAAAAGAGAAAATCAGTAAATTAGTGAGAATTTGAATAATAGAATTATTTTGCTTCAATAATAGCTTGATTTCTTTTAGAAATAAATTAGTAGCTTAAAGCAAGATAAATCAGATTTAAACAAAGAATATTTAAGTTTAAATGAGTAAAATAAGACTTTAGCAGATTAAATAACAAAATTAAAAAAAGAAAAAGCCTAAATGACAATGAAATTAATGAATTCAGGAATGGCAAACTTAATTGGAAGTTAAGTATCATCATATTCAGAAAAAAATTTATGAGATGATTTTATATTTATAATATGATAATTCAAAATACAATAAGTTTATCTTTAGAACTAAAAATAATTTGAAATCGACAGTTTTTACTAATATACAGATAATCTTGTTAAAGCCTAATACTATCTAATAATCTTAATTTGCCTAAGAACATGGAATTATAGAATAATTTTATGGCTTTATTACTTAATAAAATATGCAAATTAACAGAAATATAAAAGCAATATAAGGAATTATATTATTCAAAAATTTTGAAAATTCCATATTAAAATCAAAACCATGCTTGAAAAAAGTTAAGTTTTTAATAAATATCATATTTTAGAAACATTTAAAAAAAATAAACTATTAAAATTGAAAATAATTCATTTGTTCATACTAAAATATAATGTCACAATAAATCAGGATTTTGAGGATATTAATTTGATTATTATTATGTAGAATTTAATATTTTTTATTGCTATTTCATGTATTATATAGCATACTATTATTATCTATCTTCATCCTTATTTTTTACATATTCTTAAGTTTTTTAAAACTATTATATTGATTGTTACATTTATTAGATAGATTATTTCTATTATTATTAACTCTATTATTAAATATGTAATGAATCTTTCAAAAGATTTTGATATTCATTAGATTAGGATTATTAAGGTTGTTGTTGCCGCTAAAATTATATGTTTGGAGTATGTTATTTTGAAACATTAAAGTTTGGTAAAGGATGATTAAAATTCTACATTTTTGACAAACAGTATTATGATTTAACAAAGTCCAACTTTTCTTTATCTATTTTTTTGATTTCAATAACATAATAACTAGACACAGGCCGATGATCACTATCTAAACATTCATTTCTTTTATAATAACGTTATTAACAAATTAATCCCTCTTTACAATTAACTAAAATTCTATCGCACCATGAAGGTGTTCTTTATTTTTTAGATGTATCATAAATTTGACTATTTTTATCATATTTATAAGTTGGCAAAAAATTCACACTACCTTCCCAATAATTTTATAGGTATTGATTTCTATTTTTGTTATTTCCAAGTTGTTCTTAATTTAATAAATATGCTAACTTTGCTTTTGCATTAGGACAATTTGGATCTTTGGAAATTAATTATAGATAATTCTTAATTTATTCAACCACTTCTTAGTATGGTAATTCAATTCTAAAATTCATATCACCAAATAAAAATGAATAATCGAGATTGCTTAAATTTATTTTGAATTTAGAATTTTAAAAAGCTCTTTGATGAATCTCATCAATATCAGATAATCTTTATTAACATTATTTGTTACCAGATGTAAGATGACAACAAGTAAATCCTAACTAAAATAATTGATAAATAAAATAATTACTAGAGAATCATCAAATTTAAATTAAACTGAAACTCCTCCTTTATTACCTATTGTACCACCTAAACCTGTTTTAACAACATCTGTATCAATCTAAGTCATTCTAGAAATTTATGATGTCTTCACAAAAATTGATATATATATACCAACTAAATCAGATTCTCCAATTTTAGTATAAGGTTCAATTTTAGATAAGTTTTATTGAAACAATTTATCCCATAATTAAATTGTTTTTTCATTACTCATAATTACAATATTTTATGGATTTAAATCAACAATTTCTTACAAACCAAAAACAATAATATCTGGATTAGATTATTCTTATAAATTTAATATATTTTAAGAAAAGTCAGTTGTAATAGGATTATTACCACCAACGTTCCATGTTATTAATAAAATTGAAATTTGACTATTAGTGCAAAAGTGTTATTCTTACTATGCAATCCAATCATCGAAATGAGTTTAAGATGTAGAGCCAGACAACAATTAATTAATTGTATTTTGTTTCGTATCATCTTCAAAGTGACGATTATAAAATCTCTCTATATTATTGTATCCATCTTTGAGCACTCCAATTAGACCCCTTTTTCCTTCTCTTGCCATATCTGATACTGTACTTCCTGATCCTGAATAAATTATACTCAACATATCTCCATTATTAGCCCACATATTCTTATATTTAATAATAAGATCATGTAATAATTTTTTATTATTTTCATCAAAAGAATTAAGAATATCAGAATTATTAGATAATTAAAGATTTAAAATTCTTAAAAATCGATCAAAACTATAAAGACAGAGTTTGCTCATAAATAAATTAGTTCTATCCAAACAATCCAAGCAGTTAATTCTAAATACTCCATTCTATCTATTTATAATTTATTTATCTTTTTCAATATAACATTAGAATTTATTCAAAGTCTACTCATATTAATAAATAAAGGGATTAACACCAGAAGACTGACCATTTTTAACTAAAGAATGAAAATCAAGGTATTAATAATAAACATGATCTAATTAAGCCTTCTAAAATTAATAGTAGAAATTATCTGTTAATACTTATTCTAATTATCTGCTGTTTTACATTAAATTAATGCAAAATATTTTACCATATCTTCTTAAAAGATTAAAATGTTTTATAAATGCAGATAAAGTTAATTCTTTTGACCTTGTTAATTTGATACTATTAACACCATCTTAATTCCAAAATATTGGTACTGATCCTCTTATGACAACAAAACTTATTAATATTGAACCTGATATAACTATTTGCTCTGTTTCCACAAAATTAGCAACATGTCCATCATCATTTATTCCTCTTGAATAATAACGAGTTCCTCCCATTAATCTGCTTCTTCTAGAAATCAAAACTAATGTAATAGGTTGTTTATCAATGTATGAATCTATTTATTCAACATAACCTTATATCATAGGAAGTTGCCAACAAGAAGAAATCTTATTTTCTCTAAAAGAGCTAAGTAGTTTATTATTCCAAACAAAACTATTCTCATATTTCTAAAAATTTCTTGCAAGAGTTATATCTCCATTGAGTGAAAAGTAAAAAGCTGATTACAATAGTTTCTTTTATTTACTTATACTTTCCAAAATATCTTTATTGTTATTAGAATTATTGTCCTCTAATTAAATGTGTGTTTTACATCGATAGAAATGTAGGATACTTAATCAATATGATAAATAATTTAATCCTGGATTATCGCAACTTTTGTACATTCTTCAACAATCACTATGAATGACTTATTATAAGTCTTAAACACTCCCAATATATAGGAGCATCTTTAATCTCCTTTCATTTTGCTTTCCTACTCTTAAATTTTAGGTGATTCTTCAATAATTGATGAAATTCGATGAAATTTTAGCTAAGTGGTTATATTTGGTAAATCTGATTTAATCTAATGATAGTGAAATATTTTTCATACGATAATTGCATTCTAATTGGCATTAATTTAAAATAACTTCAAATTAGTCATTTAATATATAGTATATTTGTTATAATAATAATCAATAAAGTTTTTTAGAAAATTAGTATCTGTGTTTTGTAGTCTTCAATAATTCAATCAACTAATTATGATGATTATTATCATTTGATAATGAAGAATCTAAAGATGTTTCATTGCTTTCGAACTCAAATATTTACTTAAGTTACCCTTTTTTCAGTTAATGATGAGATGGTTTCATGAGTGGGAACATGAATATTATTAGTCTATTCTTAGAATTTATAGAAATGATAAAGTTATTATTATTTTCCCAATTTTTCATGAACAATCATTAATTGTATATTTTCTCATTATTTATTTAGTGTATTATTTTCTCTTTTCAATTCATGGATTTCTGTTTTTAATATAAAATGGTCTTCATAACTTTAATTCAATTCATTCAGTATTATTTATCTGTCCTCTTCCCATCTTCTTTAGCAATACTTAAAAATATTAGTATTATGAAAAAGTAAAAGAAAGAATACTTAAATAGGTTTAGAATGATATTATATTTATTTAGTTACAAATTCTATATATGGCAATAAATGTTAGGATTTATAGAAATATTATTTGAAAAGTGAAATTTTCTATTAGGATTAATAGTCTTCCTTAATATTATTCTGTGAAATGCACTAATATTTTTCAAATCTATATTAATTATTTTATTGATTATCAAACTACAAATTCTTATTAAATGTTTTGGAAATAGTAGATTCCTTCGATTTTATTTTCTTAATTCTTAATATTAGAAAAAATTACTTGCATAATTGATTCCTGAAGATTTAGGAGTTGCTTAATTCATATTTAAAATTTTTAATTGTTATTTCAATTATAAATAATTTTTTGAACCAAATTTGATTCAAAAAATTACAAAAATGAAAACTCCATTTGGACTCTAATAATATTTTGCTACTAAATAAGCTTAACATCACCAACTACTGGATGAAGAATCTGAACATTCACATAAGATGTTAATCAAGGAAATTGAAATTGATGCAAATATGTGTAAGAAATAAGCTTCACTTATACTTGATAATACTCCTGTCTATTTTCCTCATTAGCCTTATGATGTATAAAAAAGCTATATGGAAAGTGTGATAAGAGCATTAAATAAGAAATAAAATGCATTGTATAATATTAAAATCAATTAAGATTAGATTAGAATCACCAACAGGTACAGGTAAAACTTTGTCTTTACTTTGTGCTTCTTTAGCATGGTTAAAAAAGAATAGAAAAGATCAATTAAATTCTGATTAACCTAAGAATATTAAAATTATCTATTCTTCAAGAACACATGCTCAATTAAAACAAGTGGCTATGGAATTAAAGAAGACTGTCTATAAACCTAATGTTTCTATGCTAGGATCAAGAGATTAATATTGTATAAGAGGGGATTTTAGTACAATAAAAGGGACTTTATTAAATTAAAGTTGCCGAAAATCAGTCAAATCAAATTAATGTCAATTTTATAAAAAAGATCATCTCATACTTATGGCTTAAAATTATAGTACATTAATAAGTAGTTTGGAAGAAGCAAAATAATTTGGTTATAAAAATAAATTATGTCCTTATTATTTTGAGAGATAACGATTGGATTTTGCAGATCTCATTTTACTTCCATATAATTATCTATTAGAGAAAGATTTTTAAGATGTAGTTGAAATTGAAAATTCCATTTTAATATTTGATGAAGCACATAATGTTTAATCTACAGCTGAAGATGGTTCTTCATTTCTTATAACTCATAATAATATTATAGAAGCTGAAAAAGATCTTGAAAAATGGATTGATGAATTAGAATCAATCTCGATCTTTTATGATTAATTAAAAGCTAAATTGAATTCAGCCAAAGTATCTTCTGAATTAAAAGAATTTAGATCTATCATGATAACAATTAGAGTATTTGCATAATATTTGGAATCATTTAAAAATAATCAATTATAATTTATTAATTCTGATAAAGAAGAGAAATATTTGATATTAGATGCTCGTTAAATATAATCTATGATTTTTGAGAACACTTAAGATAAAGAAAACACCTTTAGATTATGGACAGAGAATTCTTAAACTAATTATGCAAAAGGAGTTAATAAAAATAATTTTGCAAAATATTTAATTCATTGTTCTATTTTAATTGAAATTATGGGTGAATTATCTCAAATTCCTGGTTATCATTTTGAATCATGGGTTAAATTTATGAAAAATGTATATGATCTAATTAAAGTTGAAGATGAAAGAGAAAAACAAAAATTATCATTAAACTCTTTATAAAACGAGTTTAATTAATACAAATTATCTTTCATTCTTGACTAATCTAATTAATTATCCATTAATATGTGGTGTCTTGAACCCTCACTTGCCTTTTCTAGGTTATTCAATAAAAGTATATACTCAGTCTTATTAACCTCTGGTACACTATCCCCTATGCCATCATGGGCTTGTGAATTACGAATACCATTTGATGTTTAATTAGTTAATGAACATATAATTGATTTGAATAAAAATCTTAGAGTTTTTTAGCATAAAGCTTTTGATTTTTCATTTAATTAAAGAAATAATGAAGAGTAAATTAGTAAATTTGGTGTTACTTTATTAAGTTTATGTTAGATAATTCCAAATGGAATTCTAGTTATTTTTTCATCTTATAGTCTCATGAATAAATTTAGAAGCAAATGGACATACAATAAATTATTAACTAGGTTATGTGAAATCAAAGCATGTTTATGGGAACCATAATAAAGTGCAGAAATGTAGAATATATTTGATACATATAAATAAAAGGCTAAAAAAGGTGCTATCATGTTTGCAGTCCATAGAGGAAAGGTTGCTGAAGGAATTGATTTTTCTGATGAATTATGTAGAGCTATATTTTTAGTTGGTGTTCCCTATCCTCCCAAATAAGATAATCATCTATTAGAAAAAATGGGCTACTTAGATAAAATCTTTAATGATCCAGAATTTACTAATTAATAAAGAATAAGAAGTTCTGAATGGTATACACAATAAGCTATACGTGCTACTAATTAAGCAATGGGAAGAGTTATTCGACATATAAATGATTATGGGTATATATATTTTAATATTATTTTTAAGTATTGTTTATCTATGTGATAAAAGATTTGAATATAAAGACATAAAATAAGGATTATCAAAATGGGCATAACCAGCCATATAGCCTTGGATCAATGATGATGAAATAATTAAGCATACAAAGGAATTTTATAACAGAACAATTTCTATTAAAGAATAATGTATAAAAGAGCAAATTGAATAAAAGCCTATTTAAGAATAAGATTGTAAAAAAAGAAAACTTTAATTTTTTGGTTTACAAAATAAAAATGATTTTGAAAAATTAAAAGATGAAACTTAAGATAGAATGAAAAATTTAAATGAACAATCAAAATAAAATGAATATATCAATCTTCAAAGTTATTAAATGAATCATCATCTACAAGAATAATAATTTAAAAATTCTAATAAAAATTAACAAAAAGATTTAGAAATTTTGAATAGTTAGAATATTAATTTTTCTAATTTAGATCGCAATAGTATATAATAAACATAATTAAAAATGGATATTGATGATGATTAAATTTCAAGAATTGAATCAAAAAAGAAGAAGTTATGTATAAGATTAAAAAATTAAAAATGAAATTGTATCTTATTATTTATTTTTTTTGATTTAATATTATTATACTCTTTTTATTTATCTCAATCCTCTGCATCTTCTCCAGCTTTTGGGAAATCATTCTCATGAGTTTCCTATAATTCAGGATCTTCCAATGGTGCTTCCATTACTATTTCTTTAGCATATTCTTTTCCATTCTCAACTGCTAAAGTAGGAAAGTTAAGTAAGTCTTTGTTTTTCTTTTAAACCTTCCAAGAATCTCTTAAATAAACTATTGAACCAGGTTTTCCTGGAACTGAACCTTTTATATATATTAATTATCTAACTGCATCAATTCTGTAAATCTTATTATAATAATATTCAAAATTACTTAAATCCCTTCACATGTTACTTTGTCATTACCTAAATGACCAGGCATCTTTTTACCCTTAAAGACTCTACCTGGATCTTATCTTTAACCAGTACTTCCCAATTGTCTATGACATAGTGAATTACCATGAGTAGCAGGTTATGTTTTAAAATTATGTCTTTTAACAGTACCTCCAAATCCTAACAAAATAAATCAAAACTTCATTTTTACCTTTTCCTGTTGAAATACCTTAAATATCAATGAATTAGCCTGGAGTAAAATGTCTTGCAGTCAACATATAGCCAACTGGCAATACATTTTCAGGTGTGATAGGGAATTCCTTTATATATTTTTTTGGAGGTATCTATTATAACATTTGAGGTATACATTTGCTTTAAGGAAATGGCCTATTTAAGGTTTCTTTAGGGTTTTAATATTGACTGCTCCTGCCCCAATCTACAAACCAGTATAAGTGTCATTTTTAACTACTTAAACAACTTAATTATTATCTAATTGTAAGACGGTTAATGCATGTCGATAACCCCATTTATCCCATTAAGCAGTCATACCAACTTTAACAGCAATCAAGCCTGCTCTTTTTGGTTAAGCAAAGGGATCATCATATGTATGCTATTTAATTTCAAATTTTTAATTGCATTCTTCTGTAATATCAATAGGAGGTTAAACAAACTTTTTATAATGTTTTCTTCTTCCTTCAATTTATTCATTTAAAGAAAGATAAATTGTTTTAGGTATTTTTTTTGTTTAAGGAATATGTGTTTCATAAAATGAACTCCATGTATGCATTTTTGGTTATAATGCTCTTAATTTTTCTAATTCAATTTTTTTCTTGAGATTTTCTTATTATTGCTTTTATTCTTGTTCTTGATCTGATTTGGCAATTTTTCCTGATTTATCATCACTTATTGCTTTAGCTCTTGTCTTCTCTCTATGAGGTTAAGCCTTAGGTCTAGTGTGTTTTGTGAAATAATATAGTGATGCCCAATTTAATTGATGGGTTGTGGTTATAAATCTAAGCAACATATTAAAATTTATTTATTTAAAAAAATGTGTATGTATTATATACAAATCAAAGAGATGAATATTTATTAAATGTTATTTATTAAAATTAAGGAATAATTAAAGTAATATACTTTCTATAATCTATACTCTTTATTAAATCTAAAGATATATTTAATAAAATTTCTTAAAAAATGATTAATATCTAAATATTTATATAAATCATTATTCTTTTGATTGTTTACTTTAAGAATGATTAAATATTGGAGACTACACTTTTTCTAAGTAATTTAAGTTTTTTTGCTCCAATATTATTGATATTTAATATAATTCAATTTTTTAGTGAAAAAATGAACTATTTCAGTTCAAATGTTAACTAAAGGCTGAGGTTGATATAAGATAAATTAAAATGAAAAACAATTCTGTCAAATTTAAGTAAAACGTTCCAAAGTCTTCCACAACCTCTATCATTTCTGAATTCTCTTATGATGAATCTCCTACACCAAATGGATTTCAATTTTAAAGCTTTACTCATGCTTAAACTATTTCAGCAAAACTCAACAAAAATTCAGTCTATAATCCATAGAATATTATGTTTAACACACCCAGAAGATTGGCAGTTCCTTTTCAAGAAATTGTAAGAAATTAAAATTATTCAATTAGGAAAAAGATGAAGTGCTTTCCAAAACACCAGTAAATAAGTAACTCTTTGAGGGAACTAAATAATTCAATAGTGGATAAATAGAACCAGTTTCTTTTTCAGAAGCATTGATAAAATAATCAAAATATACAGAGGAGAGTTTGAAGAAAATTTAGAAATTAGAAAAATTCTTAGAGAAAACAAAATAAAAATATTATAAGCCTATTAACATTTTATCTTCTGATGAATCACCGTGTAAACCTATTGCTCCTAGTTAAATTTCAGGTTTGGCATCTAAATATGAGGGATCTGAATAGAAATTGGATTCTAAGGTAAATAAGAAATTTAATTAATTGATGGATGAGTTGAGAATAATTCGAAAAGTATTTTAATATTAAGATTATAGAATATACAATATTTTACAGCATTTGATGGAGCTTATGCTTAAAGCTAAAAAACTTAGAATAATTTTATATCTTTAAAATAATAAAATGGAATAATAATTAATAATGGAAATCATATGACAAGATTAGAATTGATAAATGATACTTTTAAAAGTGAGAAAATATGTGATATTAATGAGAAGGATTCAAAATTTATATCATTTTGTATAAGTGACAAAAATATTTCAAATGATATGTTGATAACTGGTTCAGATAGAGGTAATATTATGGGTTGGAATTTATTTAAAAATCAAGCTTATCATTATTATGGTTTAAACAATTAATATAATTGCAATTTATAAAACCATTCATTACCAACATTCATTACATAATCATTTAAGAATATATATGTAGGAACAAAAAATAATGTAAATAATTTAATTTATTAATTTAAGGAATTATTGATTCTAGATGAAAGAATGAATGAAAGATAATGTTTATCATTAACAATTCAAAACTCTTATGAAAATGTAATACAAGCAAATTCAATACTATCACCACTTTTACCTAGATTTGGATCTTCAATAGTTGAAAGTCCTGAAATAAATCCAATTGATCCAAATTTATTAAATGAAACAAATTTCAGATTAGATGAAGAATATGATTCAATTAAGGGTGATCTAATTGAAGAATTTCCATCTTTTGAATAATTGAAAGATTTAAATAGATAAGAATCCTAACAAATTAAATATATTGATGTTAATGATTATAATGTTCTTGTGACTATGACAGATGGATTTATTCATTTAGATATGAGAAATCCAACTGTTGCTTAATTTAGCTTTTAATAAAATTATTAGTAGGCTTTAAAGGCTATGTTTTGTCCTGGAAATTCAAACAATATCATTTATGCTAAATAGAATTCGAATAAATGTTTACTATGGAATTTATAAAAGAATGAAGTACTATTTCATAAGGAATTATAAAATAATCCTTTGGATATGATTGTTTCTCAAGAAACAAAAGAGATTCTATTTTTACATTAAGAATAAAATGATTCCATAATTAAAGTTTATAATAATGTCACTTCAAAGTTGAAATATTGTGATGAATTAATAATTCCTAATTTCCATATTTAAAAAATACTTTTGGATTATTAATGTGATACATTGTATGGTATTGGACCTTATTCTTTGAGAACATGGAATTACTTTTAATAAAAGGAAATAGATTTGATACATGAAGAGATGCAAAATTAATTAGAATCACTTATATGATATTATGATTTGTTAATATTATTAAATTAATACATACATATATATATATATTATCTTAATAAGAGATTTTAATGTTGTAAATTAAAAATAACGAAATAAATTATTATTATAAATAAAATTTATAGTAAGGATGCTATAAATTAATGTTGAGGTGCAAACTGTTTATTTTTATATAGATTCACCTATTATGTATTGCCATATGCAACTAAATGATTGTAATATGTTTGATTGAATGTAGCTGTTACTGCAGTCATGTTAAATAGTTAACTTAAATGTAAATGCTATGAACAATAAGACATATATGAAAAGGCTGAAATTAGAACGGCTTATGATCCAAAGAACAAAAAAAAAGTATTTCTCAACTTATTATGTAAGCTTAAATTGATTTTCTTTGAAAATTAAAGTAAATTTGGAGAGGCTGTCTTTGATCTGGACTTTTATATTGAGAACAAATTTTAATAATTATCAGATAAATTATCCATTCAAAGTGAACAAAATGAAGAAGCTTAATTAACATTTATGTTTGAATGGTAATTTATAGAAAAGCCTACAGAAATCAATCCTAAAATCATTAATCCTTATCTTTCAGGCAATAGTCCTTAAAATACATAAAGAAATGTTGGATAAAGTCCAAAAAGATTAGTTTAATAAAAAAAAATTGGAGAAGAAAATGAAAAGAGAACTACTCATGTAACGTATTCTTAGTGGAAAGATCATAAAGAATATTTAAAAAATTAATTGGAACGAAAACTAAAAGAACCTAAGCATCCTTAAAAAGTAGTAATTGTTGATGATTAAAATTATAATTGGTCAGATACATTAAGAAAACCAGATGCTTAAGTGAGAGTTGTTTCTCCTCCAAAACGATTTGGTACACCTACTAAAGCAAATAAAAAATTTCAAAGTCCTACAAATACTTTTAATTCTTAAAGATAATAAGATTATGAATTAAGAATGATAAATGAAAAATTAAGTAAAGTAGACAAATAATTATAATAAATGAATAATGAAAATAAAGAAGAAGAAAAAAAAAAATATTCATCAAAATTAAATTAAAAATTAAAATAACGTTAATTTGATGATTATAGAAATGGTTCAAATGAAGAATAAACTAATAGTCAATCTGAAAAAGGAATTAAATAAAAATCACTTCATTATTAATCATTTGTAGAATAAAAAGATTCTAAAGATTATTAATTTATGTACAATAGTCAAATTTAGCCTCCAACTCAATAATATTAAACTTCTGATTAATTGACAAAATCTCTACATGATCCTTAAATTTCCAAACAAGTTAATACTATCAATTCGGATATTCCAAAGAGTCCACCAAAATCTAAAGAACTACAATAATAATTATCTTAAAGAAGTAAAACATAACAATAAGAAGACTTTTAAAATAGTAATTAATTTAATAATTATGATAAATATGATGAATTAATGAGAAAATATTTAGATTTAAAAGATAAATATTAAAATTCATGTCTTGAATTTTCACTATTATCATAAACTTATTCTTAATTAAAAGATGAGTATTCATAAGTAGTTTAATAAAATTAGTAATATTAATAATAAATATCCTTTTTGTAATAATAATAATTAATTAATGGAAATAATGAATAGATTAATTAATCTGCATATAATATGGAAATAATTAAAAAAGAACTTGAGTTTCTGTAGAGAGATAATAATATGCTTAAATCTCATTTAGAATAAAGTCAATATAATGTAAATTAATTGCAAAAGGAGAAAGAAAAGAATTATATAGAAATAAATAATCTAAAAAATAATTTACTTTTGATTAATTAAGAAATAGATAAATTATAGAATGATGCATTATAAATGAAAACAGAATTTAAACAAAATAATAATAATTAATAGGTATCTGAAAGTTATGCTTAATTAAATATTAAATCAGATGCTCAACCAATAAATTAATAGAAAACATTATAAGAAAATCCCTAATTTGATGCTATTCATTAAAAAGAAGAATTAGAATTATTAAAAATCTAATATTAATAAATAGAAAAAGAAAATTTAAATTAAAAAAAATAAATAGGCAATTTTAATTAAATTATATAATCTTTAGAAGATGAAATTACAAAATTGAAAGATTAACTTGAAGAAAAGAAATAAGATATTATTAGAACTTAAGCTTTGAATAATAAAGATAATATTGGAGATATAATTGATGGTTATAAATAAGTAATTAAAAAAAAAGAATAAGAAATCTTGGATTAAGAAGAAAGTATAAAAGATATGAAGAAATAAATATAAATTTAAGAAAAAGAATTATAATAAATATCTGAATTAAAACAAGATTTAGAACAAAAATTAAATAAAAAAGTGAATGAACTTTAAGAGGAAATTGAGAAACTATAAAATGATAATTAATATTTAAAACAAATTTTATCTCAAACACAAAATGAATAACAATCATCATTTTAGTAAGTTTTATATTTAGTATATTAGATAATCTAATAAAAATTCTATGTATTAGTAAGAAACTAATTTCAAAGGGTTTAGTTTTAGAGGAGATGATGTGGATAACCAAACTGAAAATTTGAAATAAGAAAATGCTTCATTAAGTATTGTTTTTAATGATTCACTTAGAATTTGAGTAGAATAAGGATAAAGTAAGAATCGATAGTTTAACAAAGGAATTAGAAATTTAAAAAGTAATATAAATTTATTATATTAAGAACATAGCAGAATTAAGTGAATAATAATTGATGGAAGCTTAAGAACAAATCATGTCTTAAAAATAAAGAATAGCTGATATTTTAAATTTAATAATGATTAGAGGTGATGCTAAACAAATGGATGATGTAGAGAAATTACTTTAAAATAAAGAATTTTTATCTCTTTGAAGATGTTGTTAATATTATATATATATATTTCAATTTAATCATGATAATTTATTTTTTTTTTATAATATGATTTCATTATTAAGATGGATTAATACATAAAAAATATTTATTTATATGAATTCAAATTGTAAATAACTATTTATTAATATATTCAACACAATGTTAAAGATTTGTAAACTGTTTCATAAGCTTTTTATTACTTTTAGGATCTTGATGGAGAAGATAAAACTAATGATAACTATTCAGCTGCATCTCTATGGTGCTTTTCTTCTATCATTACTTAAGTTTATTTAAGTTAAACTAAAACTTGCTTTTTACATAGTTTCTAATTGTAATACCTTATCATTTTTGAAATCATCATTTTTCATTAATTTATCAGTCAATTAATTAAGAAATTTAACAACATTTTCATCATCACCATTTTCTTTGTTTTCTTACATTTATTTCAATTATACAGGGGCTAATCTAGCATGTTTCTTTTCATTAGTTCCATGAGCATATGGACAATTTACTCCATTCTTACAAAATCCTTATTAATCATATTTGCATAACACAGCTTTAATATAATTATTTATTAGTACTCTTATAATTTGTAATAACTATATTCGAATCAATTGTTGGTATCTTACCTAATATTGGATCTAGAGTATAATCTTGATAATACCATTAGGGTTTCTCAATTCTTTTAAACCATGTGCAAATTGACATTTATCTCCAATTGAACAGTTACCTAATTCAAAGTGTCTGCAAATTGAAGTTTTATAAAGTCTGCCATTTCCATGTTAAGGAATAGTAATCACAGCGTTATGCATTTTTTAACGATTATAATTATTAAATTTATTTATTTATAACACCACAAATTGTAAAAACATATACATTAAATAAATTTATCAAATCTTATTTGAATTTCTATTTATTTTTCTTATTACAAAATCATTTATACAATATTTTTATAGCTTTCATTTTTTAAACAACTCCTTAAATTTTACTATTAAAATATTATATAATAAGATATATTATTTTATAAGTCCAAAAGATAAATTTATTCTTGTAATATCTATTTATGAGAACTATATGATACAATAATTTGATCATAAAATTGATATATTTATAATATATATTTCTTATTTTAAATGTATAATATATCATTTTGATGAAATTTCTAACATTCTATTGACATCTGCAAACCACCAATCTAAGAATTTATGTTTATCAATATTTCCACTTGTATCAGCCAAATATTCTTAAGCCCTACCTTCCATAATATCTGTAAATTTAAATTAAAATGCTAAGTCTTCACTACAAACCCATAAATTAAGTTCGAATTTATCACATAATTCAGGTAATTTATAAACAGAAATTTACTAAAAGAATATTAAATATATTTACTCCTCCAGATCCTAAAGTCTTACATAAAAGATCATATTTCAAACTAGCTGTTTCAGGTGTCAGACTATGACTTTATTCAAGCATTTTTTTCCAATTTTCTGATACTTTCTTTTTAAAATATATTTATGCTTTTGGATCTGGCCATTAATATTTATTTGGTTTATAGTCAACAACTAAAGGTCCTGAATGTTTTGTTAATAGACATCCTGGTTCATTCCAAGATTTACGACAACAAGTCCAACTATTTAACATAAAAATCTTATTTACTGAGGTTTCCATAATATTTTTGATCCTTTTTCTTATTTATATTCTTCAATAGCCTCTTATATTTTAGTAGCAGTATGTCCAAAATCAAATACTCCTGGATGAGATCTACACATATTCTTTTTTCTATTTTCAATCTCTCTATATTGTTTTCCACATGACCAATTTGTACATGTTCTTAATTCTTTCTCTGTTTCAATTAGTTTCATTAATTTCTATCTATCCTTATTAATAAATTCATTATAAGGTATAGTTGGTCTATATACATCTGGTCTAACTTGAATGTTTTTATTTGGTTATGCATCCTTTTCTTTTTAAGCAGGATTCTAATAATTAAATATAATAAATACAATATGTAATTTTTAAACAAAATAAATTTTAGCAGCAGGATCAGGCCATTTAGCAGCTTGATGAGTTCCTGAATTATATTTACATTCTGAAGAGTCACCATCTTAGAATCTCATTCCACAAGTACCTTCAGGATAACCAGTTCTTGGATCTTTGGGACCTACATTGATACAAATATTATAATAATCTTTTTCAGGAACACCTTTGTGATATTCTAATTTACAGCCTTCAGCTTCCCATTTTTTACCACAACATGTCCAACATTCTGGCCATAATCCATGTTTAGATCCAAATTCATATCTTCCAGGATGATGTTTACATGTTTTAATTCCATTAGGAGTTGAATCATATTTATATGATTATCCACAACCCCAATTTTTACAAATGTAATCCATACCAGCTAATTAAGCTTCTCCTTTTTCTGATTTCTCTTATTTATCAGGTACATTGCATGGATGATCATGAGATATCTTAGATCTTTAAGAATAATTGTTAGTTTTTAAGAATTATTCTTATTTAGTTGCCATATAATTTGTATCTCCATAGGCTTAAGCCAATAATACTATATCATCATATACTTTTAACATTCTCTTCAAGAAACAATCCAAGAACTTATTTAATTTTTCATTTTTTCTAAACAAATACACTCTACCTTCTTTATCCATTTAACCTTATTAACCTACTCCTCTTATATAAACATCAAAATGCTCTAATTATTATGTTTTATCCCAATTTCCTATTACTTCTATATTTGGAAATAAATCTTTTAATATTTATCCAATTTCATTAAATTTAAGGGCAAAATCAGCTTCATTATGCCATGTAGTAGTCTTATGTTTTTCACAATCAGAACATCTATTTATGATAAGTTAGAATTTCCCTTGATTCCAATTTTCTGGTAATAATGGCAATGTTTCTGGTTACTTTCTTTTTAGTTCTTCTACTTCTGGATTTTTTTTTAAATATTCTGCTTCTAACCTGATTATTTGAGAATGCTCATCTTTCTTTACTATTAAACCTCTTAATCCTGCCAATCTTAATTATTCAAAAGCATAAGTCTCTAAGTAACCAGTTGCATCTTATCCTTCTCTATATGAAAATGTTTTATCAATTCTAAAAGTCTCTTCAGCTTCATGTGTTTTAAATGATATCATAGCCATATTTTCACCATTATAATGAACTCTGAAGTACTTAGGTTAAGATTCTTCAGAAATATCTAATTTCTATTGAAAAATTTTATCTTGATCATAAGAAAAAAAATCAATTCCTTCTATTTCTACTTCCTATCCTAATTCTTTATGAACATAAACAGCTGTTAATTTTTACACAAATTCATCATTATTTACAAAATAAGCCAAAAGATATTTAATATTGTATTTGAATGCTTCATTTTCTGATCCTACTAATGTTCTAAGTTATTCAAAGAAACTGAAACTATATTTTAAAGGTTGATGTTTAAATCTTTATATCCCATCTGCATAAATAATTAAATCTTAATCTGCTTCTTTTTCATCTGTATTATATTAACTCTTTACTTCTTCTATTTCTTCTTAAGTCAATGCAGCCTATCTTATAGATAATAGTAATCGATCATAAATTAAATAATAACCAAATTTTTTATTTTCCCTTAAAGAATCAGTAATTTCTGCTAATTAATAAATATCATCATTTGATAATTAAATTCCACTATGTTATACAACTTTACAAAACCTATCAAATTCAATAGCATAATAAGGATATGTTTCAAATCTAATATAATTTATATTTATATTAATTACCTCTCTCTAAATAATTCTTAATGAATATAATCAAATGGAAGTTTTGGACTTGCATTTTCTTCTAATGGTGGTGCTAATTATTATACAGTAGTAAAAACCCAATAGAAGATCAAACTTAATTCATGACATTTATGATATAATATTTCATTTTATTAAAAAAGTTAGTATAATCTATCTTAAAAATTAATATAAATGATATACTTGCAAAATCTTAAATTGTTTTTTAATTTGGTTATTCCTGTTATTGAATTTTCTTTTTATCAATTTCTTCAAATACATGATAACTCTTTTAGAGATGTGGGGGTATCTATAATTTCTTATTACTTGTCTTTGTAAGAGTTTTTGATTATTATTTCAATAAACTTTAAGTTTAAGTTTGATTATATTTGGATTCATCTTAATCAATAGGAATTTCTTCTTTAAATTGTTACAATATTTCTTCTACAATTTCCATAGTTCTTCTTTAAAATTTATGGGATAATGCACTTTAAAGTTCAGCATAAATTGATTTTATATGCTTTTAATGTAAGGATTAAGCTATAAAAACTATATCTTATAGAGTTCCTTTGAATAATTTTAGAGCTTATTCAGATCCTACCCAAAAATATCCTCTTGGAGGTTCTAACTATTATGATAAATTAATTTGATTTTCAATAGCTCCATTAATATACATAGAAACTTCTCTAAATAGATTAATAGAATTATTAATTTTACTTGTATGTTTCTGTTTCAGAATAAACAAGAGCTACTTAATATTTCATATTTCTTTTGATTTTCATTTGAGAATAGAGAGTTTCCATTTTACCTGTCATGAGTTGAAAATTAAAAAAGAAAAGTTGATCTCTGTTTATACCAAATGTCATATTTTTAGACATTAAAGAACTACCAGTTGACAATACATTTAGATCATCCTCTAAAATTAAATAATGAATTTAAATACTTATTTCTTTAGGAAAAGGTGATATAATAATTTAAAACAGTATAGAAAATGAATGCACTTTCAAAGGTTAAATTTCAAGTTCATCAAAACTTATTTTGACTTGATCAGTTGATTATTTGAATTCTTTAGCATCAAGCATGACTTAAAATTATAAATCCATTGGTTCTTCATATTCATCTTAAATATAATTTTCATCTATTATTTAATTATTGTCGAATTCCTCTTCTCCTGAGGTATTTCTTTATGGAAATCCCTATATACCATCATCTTCTTCTAAACCCAAAGGAATATAAAATATTCCTCCTTGAATTGATTCCTAGGCACTTATTGGTATTTTGAAGATATATTGATTCTAATTAGGACCATTAAATTAAAGTTATGTTTCCTATTCATTACATTTGATTAAAATCATATGACTACTTGATCCAAAATCAAATTCCAAAGTTTTCAATGATTCATGTAGAGCTGAATTAAGGTCATGTTATTCCGATTGAATAGATTTTTCAATTTTTTAACATGTTTTAATGAATTTATCTTTAGAGAATGTTCCTTAGCTGACTTCCTCAAATTATGCCAAAATATATCGAGTTTTTTCAATTATTATATCAATTACTACAAAATATCTAGTTAAAAATTACATATTGAAGTGTTTGATTTGATTTAGTATTCCAATTACATAGGACTATAAACCACATAAACAAACCTAATCAAAATACTTAATAATCATTTTACCATAGTTTTTCAAAATTTTTATTAAGTAGTTGTTATAAAAAGAGTGCTGGATTTTAGTGATTTAATTTATCTGAGTTCTCAAATAATAATTTTTTAATTTTCTCTTTCATCTCAGGAGTTACATTTGAATCGCAATATAAAAATTTCATTTTTATAAATAATATTTTTATTATTATCTCAGGTAATTTTAAATCTAAATATATAATTGAATTATTATTCAGTTTGTCATCGTCCCCTTAAAGAATTTTGAACACATCTTCTAGAATACAATTTTAAATAATGTTTCTAAATTTACCTATCCTTATTTTACTCTAACCAATTCTTTCTCTCTGATGCAGTCAAAATATTTTATGGACCTTCCTCAAACACTATTTCCAAAAGCTTTCCATAATCAATAAACTATAATTATGACAATGCCAGAATACAATCCTAAATGTATTCTTCCACCTCTACATCTGCTGTCCCCTTTCTTAAAGCCTCGAATAATTTTGAAGTATATTAAGGTACAAATGGTATAAATATTTGCTAGAATTCTATAAATTATAGTTAATTAATATTACTATCTTTGTATTCTTAGGGTATTTGAGTTTTAAAAACATCATCCTAAGGTTTTAACATTTTGAATGCCACTTCCAACCAAGAATAGAAAGTTTTTGCTGCACTCACATGTTTCAATCCTATTGCCATTAATGTTAGTTGTAGGATTGTTTATAAAGCAGGACTCTATAATAGTAAGACTGGAGTATATCTTCCATATCGAACTAATATTCCAAAGAGATCTTCAGTTAAATCAGGATTCTCTTCAAAACTTGATAATTATGGTAAATGTTAAAAGGTGATATTGCAAAGACTTTCAAATGCTTCAGATAGAATATTTCTATATTCAGGATATTTATAAAATACTGTTGCTGATACCTCAGCTATGTATATACATGCTGTAATTGGCATTTATCGATATACAGTTAAAAAACATTAAAATACTTAAGTTAGTAAATCAACTGAAAATTAATTGAATGCCTTTCTAAAAGTATGTTTTGTATATCTAACTATTTTTTCAGCTATGGTTGATTCATACATTACTATTCTTTCCATTCCAAATTTTAACATTGGCCATAATTCCTTATAAACATTAACTATCAAAATTCTAACTTCTAAGAAATCCTCATTTTCATTAGCAGGTATCTAACTATTTGCATATGCCAAACAAGAAATATTTTTACTAAATTATTCAATATTTTCTTCTAATGTATCAATTTTCAAATTAGATAATATTTATTCTTCTAATTATTTTTATAATTAAAGGAGATTTTAAGCAAAAATAGAACATAATTTTAAATAATAATTTTGCATAGTTTCCTTACTAGAACAAATAGCATTTGCTACTCCTTTAATTAAATTATCATAATTTTAACTAAAATTATATGAATTAATTTTACACTTATTATAATTTTACAATTAAATCAAAAAATTAATTTAAATGCATTAATACAAAATTTTAATTCTATTTACATATTAATTAAAAAGCTTTAGTTGCTTTTTTTTATACTGATGGTACTTTATGATGTATTCCAATTGTAATGAAATTAAATAATAATGGTAATAATTCATTTGATGATATTAATTAAGCACAACCCTATGAGATTGTCTTAAATACTAAAAATAAAATAATTAAATATTATACCAGTTTTCAAAATGAAATTATTACTTGCTAAATTTTATTATTAATATACATCTAAATATAATTTAATAATCTCCATTAAATATTAAACTCCAATTTAATCATTTTTAAGTGTAATTTATTTTACAATACCACTTATTAAATACATACATGCTTCAAAAGTTATCCAACCTGAATCATCCATTTTTGTAATAAATTCTTATTTTAATATTAAACCTAAATGTTATAGAATTTAATTAGGTTAAATTATTGTAGCTAATTCTTCAATAATCTCTTTCATATCAGATCTTGTATCTAATAATTATTCAAATTCATCCTCTATTTTAGATGTTATACCATATTCAGTTAATAATGTAATATTTACTTTACTATTCTTAACACATCCATTAATCAATTATTCAAAAGTTAAAGCAAATTTACTCTATAATTATATATCATTCATATTTCTAATAGTTTTAATCATTTTAATCCAAAAATCTGTCATCGTTTCACTTTCATTATAAGAATTTTCATGACAAAATATCCATATCATTGTTGTTAAGAATACTTCTAATTAATTATTCAATAATATTTTGCATATAAATTTCTTTCCAAGTTTAGAATATAATCTTATTAAATTATGAATTTCATCACTCAAATCTTCATCAAGAGCTTTCTTACATAATGCAAATGTTTTATAAACTTCATCAAATATAACTTTAATTATTTATGGTTCTAATGAAGATTAATCTGCTATGTTTCTTGGTATTATTCCAAAAAATGTACATATTACTTCAACTGCCTTACTCTATAACTCTTCAATTATTATAGAATCTAAAGCACCTTTAAATAAAGGAGTTTAAGTAGTTAATTGCATAAATTATATAGCCTTTAAAATTTACATATTAATATTATACTTCATCTTCATTTATATACTTTTTCATAAATTCTAACCATTTTTTATATGCACGTAATACATAGAATCTTATATTTTAATTATTTGCATTATTCCATCTTTATTATAGAAATTGTATAATGTCTAACATTTATTTATTTTTTATATCTTAAGCTATATATTTTCTTTTTTCATCATCAATTATTATCTTTTTATTACTAATTATTTCTTCTGGAAAAGTTTCCAAAATATCAAATAAAAAATTTTAATGTACACTATTATTTTAGCAATCAACTAATTGGGAAATCACTCTATTTTTATATTGATATTGTACTCCAAAATAGATTTAGTTTATTGATTATATGTGTACAAATATAAATAGATGAACATAAGTACACATTATATTCTAGTAGATTTTTAATTTTATACACTGTAATGGATAATGATTTATATACAGTTTTAATAAATCTATTATATCTCCTAAGGATTGAGTGATACTAGAATGTAAAATTAATCTAAATACTGAAGTCATATAGTATTTTGGATTGCAGAATTCGTAACACCTAAAATACCAATGAAGAATCTGGATTTGACTATAAAATTTGAATGCATATTCCCCAAGCCTCACTAGATTATGAGAAACTTCTCAAGAATGTATCAGCCTTCTCAACTTAACCATTATTGAATGCATGAATCGCCTAACACACATTCTCAATCGAAAATTCAGCCATTATTTAATTAATTAACTAATAAAATATATTATAAAAGGATATGAGCATTTTCCTATTAAATAAGTAATCTATATCCACTATTCAGTAAACAATAAATATTCAATAAAAACTTAAGGCAAACAGAATCTAATGTAATCTATGAATCGATATGATGATAAAAATAGATTGTCAAAAAATAAAATATACTTAATTAGTTAAAATAATAAGATTAAATTTATAAATATAGTTTCAAAATCATACGGATACAATAATTTGGAAGTAATCATAGAAGAAAATAATTATGTATTTAAAATATGTATCACTTCAAATTGTTTGAATCTTTAATATACTTTTATATTTTAAAGTATATGAAATGAAATTCAATAACGAACAAGATTATTAATAAATAAATAACTTAAATATGAATGGTATAATTGAAAATACTCATAATGATAAGATTTTACTAAAAAATGAATAAGAATTAACATAATAATTTCAACATATTCTAATTTAGAATGAGAATATTTATTATTGTCAATAAAAAGGATTAAAACAAAACTAAAATTCATGAATTTCAAGTCTTTATTTATATTTATATAACTTTGCTTATTTATACTGTTCATGTTTGTAAATTATATTTATTAATGAATTAAAATTATGAGAAATATGATGAAAATTTCTAAATGATCCAAAAACTTGAAGAACGTAAGATTAAACAAATCTTTTCTGATAATCTCACTTTGTCTACACCTACGTTTATGAGCTCATAACGTAAATAAACAGATATTCAATATATTCATAAAGAAAGAGCCATTTTAGATGTACGATTAACAAATGTCATTTAACTTGATCTTTGTCAATTCCATTATATTGAAGTACCATTATTTGGTCACAAAAAGCCTCTCGTTATTCGTATAATTATTGATTAATAGTAGATTTTTAATTCACTGATTAAGCTAAAATGAAATTTTACATCTCAAGTCATACTTTAACTCCAAATAGATTCAATAATGAAGAGTCATTTGAGAGAAAATAAATTCTTAGATATACAGAATAAGGTGAAAATCTATCCTTCGCATAACGTTGTTTGTATCTGGCTATCTTTTCTTAATAAGCTACAACAATTTATGCGAAGGCTTCTTTTGGAATCAAACCATAATAATAATAAAAAAATGAAATAGAATCAAAATTAAGACCTTCAACAGGTTATCAATTCACAAGATCATCATAATTTTTCTTTACAAGAAAACCATCCAAAGATATGATATCACTTAATAAGAATATTGAATAATATTAACCAGATAAAATTAGATTATAATAAAACTTAAGGAGAGTTCAATCTGCTCGTAAAATATCAGAGACTCTACATAAAAAGAAATAAATATTTGAAGAAAAGAAAGAAACATTAAAAGAACGATTCGAATTTTAAGAAAAGAAAAAGATTTTAAAAGAAATTATACTTTATAGAAATAATATTGATAGTTTTATAAAATTTTAATAGAAATTATGGCTTTAGAATCTATATTTTATTTAAATGATATCAATAATTAAAAAGAAATATTATGTAAAAAAAAAATGTTATTTATTTTTAGGATAATATTATATTTCAATTTAAATAATCAATAAAAAAAAGGAGATAATATCGAGTTAGATAAGTGTTATAAAGAATGTTATAAAAGTCTGGTAAAGATATATATTAAAGAACTTTGTTTGAAGGTCTTTTGATATTGAGAATGTTGTCGAAAGTAAAAGAAAATGGAGCTAAAAAGAAATCAAAAAGAATTGTATTTACTTTTATGTTGAGTTATGGATAAATTGGAGAGATATTTTAAAAAACTTATCAATTTAAAAGAAGAATGAGAAAAATTATAGAAGTTTATAGAAATTATAGAAAAAAAGTATAAGCTTATGCAAATAGAATCATTATGTTATGGAATAAATATTGGAATTAAATTTATATGGAAATAAAAAAGGAAGATTAAGAAAGTATATTTAAATTAATTAATAATTTTAGAAGTCAATGAGATTAAGGTTTAGATGTAAAAGACTATAATTAATTATCATATTGAAGAAGAAATAATAAAATCACCATATTTAGATATGTATATACTTATATAATTTTATTAGTAAGGTATAAAGTGTAATTGTGAATAATTATTATAAGGAAATAAAAAATTTATTTATAAGGAAATGGAGGGTTTTGAAAATTAAAGTAAAATCATCTAAGTTTTAAACTTTGATGGCCTCTTAAGCATTTGATAAGAAGAATGAATTATTATTATTTACTATTGTAGATAAAAGTGTTTTAAAATAATTAATCTATAAGTATATGTAAGAAAAGGGAATGATATAAAGTTTATTATTAAAGAAAAATTGATTATATAATAAATTTATATATTTAATCTTTATAATAATCATTCTGTCTTGATCTTCTTCTTTTTTGGACAATTATTCTTTTTAACAAAGGCTCTGAGAACACCAACTTTTTCATTCTTATGCTCATTAAAATTGAATCCATATTTTCTACCATATCTTATTTACAACAAATAGTCGTCTAAACTCTTTTTTGAAATATTCACTTTATTAGCAGCTTCTTCAAGTGTAAATCTTTTATTCTCTCCATCAATCATAATTCCCTTGAGTACAGATGAATTTTTACACTATAGTATTCTCTCCATTTAGAAACCTTTTCTATAATGTATCCAATTCTTCTTTCTTTTGTTCTTCTACATTGCTTTTAAATCTCTTAACCTTATTATTGTTTATTTTATTGATCATTTCCATCCATCTCTTTCATCTTATTGACCTTCTCATTCATTTCCTCTGACATTACTAAATGTATAAGGGAAATAGAAGTTTAAAGACATTTGATTCGTAATTAATTACTTAATCTAATCTCTTCAAAAGGTATTATGTATGAAAAATGAACAGGATCCATTCCACAATTAATGTACATTTCACAATCAAAACTATAATAGGATATTGTACGGCCTTCTAATTAAATTCCTAATTCTTTTAGTTTGTTTGTCAATTTGAAAATATTGATTCCATTTTATTGAATCATCTTACCCAAATCAAATTATGGAAAGTATTCAATATAAGCTTTTGAATTGTCTTTGAAATCAATCATTTCAACGTAGAGTTTAATCTATAAATATATTCATAAAAACTAATGAATTACAAACATCTACTACATATTTATTTCACGACTACTTGTTGAATTTTCTTCACTGCTGTTATCAGACATATTCTATGATTATTTTTTTTTGTTAATTTATTATTAGAGCTATATATTATTGATATTTAGTGTTTATAAAATCCAAAAATGTAATAATTTAATTTAGAATTTATGTTCAAAAATTAGATTTAACATTATAAATTTAGTCAATGATCTGTATAGACATTTTCATTTTCTGTTTCATCTTTAGGTACATATAAATTGATTTCAGGTGGATCAATATCCATCAATTATTGTTCCTATTAATCTTATTTATATTATTTCTTTATTATTGTTTGGTTCTTTAAAAACCATCTCTTATAATTAGCTTATTACTCTTGCCATTCTTATATTGCTGGAAATAAATATGACAAAAGTTCTTTAGTAAATGATTTCTTAATATTCTCTTATTTACTTATTCTATGATAAATCTTTAATTTTTTTGGATTTTCATTATCATTTATTCTACTTTTTTGACTCTTTTCTGAATTTAATTCAACAGAATTATTTCTATTAGAATGTCTTGATTTTCTTTTTTCATTAATCTTCTTATCTTAATCAATATCAGCTAATAAATCATTTAAATTTATTATAGAACTAATACTTCTATCAAACAAATATATTTCATTTTAATCATAATTAGATATATTATTTTCTTTTCCATTTTCATGAGATTAATCAATTGATTTTTCATCTTCTCTAATATCTGAACTATAAAAGGGATCATTCAAACTAAATGTTAAACTAATATTAGATCTTTACTATTTCTCAAATGAAATATCTATTTAATCATGTCTTGGAGATTCCATTCTCTTTTATTATTAATATTGATATTTCTTTTATTTCTATTTTTTCTTCATCAATTTTAATTTCAATGATTTAGTTTCTAATTGTAATTAAAATTAACTTTCCTATTATAAATTATGTTATGCTATTTTTCTCTTTATTTTTAATACCAATTCAATCATTTATGAATATCTAATATAAATAAGATGATTCAACAATTTAGCCTTCTCTTCAACAGTATACTTTTATTTTTATAATTTTATACACTCAAATTCCTTATATATATCTCTTATACTCTCCTATCTATAATTTCTAAGTCGATGTTATATTCTATAAATTAAAAAATGTTGAAAAACAAATCTAACTAATTTACTCCAAAACATAAAAAATTTGAAAAAACAATTATCAAATATGTGATCACTAATTTCTTTTTAGATTTCTATTGGCATTTATGGAAATATATTAAATATCAATTAAAGTGCTTTACTAATTGATGAAGCATGTTGACCATCAAAAATCATAAATAATCCCTTCATTAAAAATTAATAATTGTAATCTGTTGGAATCTTCTTATTTTATTTCTTTATTATTTGAAACCATTCATTAATCATATCAAGAGTATAAAATACTGCAATACCATCATAAAGTTTAGTTTTATGAAATATTACAATTACTAAATAATTAAGCATATTTTCATTCTCTAAAATACATAATGAAGCATGTTTAATAGTTTCTGGATATGGATATTCATTTGAATATTTAATTTCTAATAATAAATATTTAATTAAAATTAAATAACCAGGAAAACCTGACCAAGTTAAACTCATATCATAAGGATGTTTTGCCTTCTTATAATGATTCAACATTAATTAAAACCATTTCAAAAATACTCTGCTTGTAAGTATAATATTCTTCCAATCAATAGTATTAAGTATATCTTATAATTACTTTTTATGTTCTTAATGTCTAGGATCACTTTATAGATAATCATAAAAATTCTTATCCCATTCAGCAGAGAATGTGTTATCAATACAATTTATTCCAAAATCTTTTTCAAATTCCTCATTTAGTAAACGTTAATCTTGTTTTAAGATATCAATAATTAATTTTTAAAATTATGGTATTCTAAAAAATGCAATAACCAAAAAAGCATTTACAAACAATTCTTCTTTATCATTTTATCCTTATTAGTTTAGTTTCTATGCCACTTTCTCAAATGTCTAATGTAAGAAATTTTAATAATGCAATCCTATTCTAATTTTCTAATTTAATTGTTATATAAGTTTTTTATTTTTAGATACATAATTTTAATCATTTCTTAATAAATATGCTTCTTTAAGATCTTTATCAAAACCTAAATAACTAATAAAGAATTCATCTCTATTCAATAAAGTAATAAGCACATTATAATATTGATCTCTCAAATCTTCATCAATTAAATCAGCACTTTCTAATAAATTCTTTGTTAGATCCACAAAGACTAATTAAGCAGCTATCATTTCCTCAAGATTTTCATATAATTCTTAATTTTTAATTAAAGTACTCAATTTTTCAATAATTTAATTAATAGCCTTATTAATTTTAACTCTCTCTCTATGTTAAAGACTCTTTTAATTCAATTTTCCAGCTAATTCATCTATTTCATTATTAATTTATATTATTTGATTGATATTTGGACTCTAAGGTCCAGAATATTTATCTTTTTTAATATAAAGTAAAGAAGATCTTTGAATACCTTCTTCTGTTCGAAATCCTCCTAACATTTATCTAATAAAAGTATCCTTTGTTATAATAAATTCTGCTTTTACTCTTCCAACACATTAACCATGTATCCATAATTTATCTGTAAATATAACTTCTTAAAGTGAGATCCTATCTAATTCAGCCAAAACATTAACATTTTAACTAAAAAATTTATTTAGAGATATAACTGAATTTCCTATTTTTCTAACACTTACATTATCAGATTTTTCATTAGGTTTTGAACTTCCCCAAAGAATGAATTCAAAAGAAGAACTAGAAAATGAATCAACATAAATATCAAAGGATATGATTGGATTATTTTCTTATACTTTGAATTCCCACAATAAATCCTTTTTTGTTATCAAATCCATAGTTGAATAGGGTTTTCTTTGATTTAATGATTTATTAGTTTATGATTGATTAGTTGAGAGGTGTATCATAGTACTGGGTTAATTATTTGATTTAGATTTTTTTAATATCAAATCTTAATCATTCTTAAGTCCGTTCTTTTTCAAATAACAACTCTTAAGATCGGTTTAAATATTTTCATCCTAAGATGAATCAAAGATATCTCTAACCAATTGAAATTCATCAGATTCACTCCTTAATTTTTCTTTGGAATCTATGTATCCATATTATTTAATTGAAGATTAACGGTATAAATAATGATTTAAGTAATTAGGAGAGAAATCACTATAGTAATCTACTTAATGAGACTTGAATATAAATTAATAATATGATACTCTAACTTTTAATTAAAAATTGTAAGCCTGTTCCATCAATTAGTCTTTAAGTTCACAGATAACTTATTTGCTTTGAATTTTTAATGTTGTCATTTATACCATTCTCAAATCAAAAGTAATTCTTGATGAATTAGCTTTTGTAGATTCAAGAAACAAATCATAATGAATGGGACCATTTGCAACTTCCCACATATTTTAAATAACATAAGCAAAACATTTATTTTTTTCAGCACAAAAGACACTCTGAATAAATAAGAGTAGTATACAATTTTGAAAAATTCTAACTTTAAGGTTTCTAAATCACTTTCATGAATTGATCTAAATGTTTATCTCCAATGTGGATTAGAATTATTATATGAAATTTAAGTTTAGAAACATTCTTAATTTGCAATTGAAAAATGAACTTTAGTTTTTTTAAGAGTAATATTTTTGATTTTGATATTTGAAAATATGATCTTAAATTTGATTAATGGTTTTAAGAAAATAATTTCATTATTGATATCTTTCTTTTCTTTTTTTAATCCACAACCCATATATATATATAGATAAATAAATATTAAATATTAAATTATCGAATAATTCAATCTAACAATTCATCAGTATATGATATTGTCTATTTTTTTGATTTGTTATCTCTTAATAGATCTTTGAATACATCACCTAACATCAACTAATTATAACCAGCTCCTTATAATTCTACTCCATATTCACTTTCATCATCTCCAATCCTTTCCAAAGGTAGATTTTAATCCTTTTTACCAATTTAACTCTATTTTTAACAGAAACCATAAATAACTACAATAATCACTATCAAAATTGCTAGCAATATTATAGATAATGTAGCATAAAACCATGCTACATTATTGATTTAACTATCTTATTAAATCC